CGTCTCTCTCTGCAAAGCAGTAGATGAATTCACAGATGTCTGTGCATGTGCTTCAGGATAAAGTTAGTGATGCGCTCCAGTCCCTGTTCGGGCGCCAATTTTTCCTACTACTTTTAGTTGTAACCAATACGTCTACTCACCAAAGAATGAGTGAAGCAATATGGATAACAGCAGAGGACAATTTATTTAGGGTCTGATGGCAATTTACCATCGGTGTCCAGCACTTTAAAGGATTGGATGGACTGGAGCACATCTGTCCTTAACATACCCTCTTAAACATCAGCTTGACACTGATACATCAAAGGAAACTTAACAGACTAAGTGCAAATGTTTCAACCTGAACAACTTAAAACTTCTTTGGGATACAATGTAAATAAAGACAAAAAGAAAAATATTTCCATCAATAGTCACTTCTCCTAACCAGGAGACAAGTGAATATATTATGTAAAGAGTCCTTCTCAGTCCTGGGGTTGTAACACCACAACCTCCTCAGTCCGTAATCAGAGAGTGTCTATTTGACAATAACCAAAATGTCTTTGGATAGTCTTTATGAATGCAAACAAAACAAAACAAAAAAAACAATGGTATTAGCTGGCCAGCAAAATAAAGAGACTGTATGGCACTGAGTGCGGGCGTGTGTGTGAGTACTTCGGTCCAAATAATCAAGGTCCGGATGGATGAAGGGATGGCGGCCGCTTGTCCTTTAATGGCACAGCAGCGAGGCGGCACAGCAGCGAGGCAGCACAGCAGCGAGGCGTCTGGCAGGAGAACGAACAATAATCCTTTTCAAGGCTACTGCATAAGGAGATATTCCCCGCTAGCTCACCCAAGCTTGCTCTCTGGCACAGCTACAAGCCACGTGAGCTCATAGCCCCATAGTGACATACGAACTTGGCTACCAACGTCCGCTTAGCATGGCGGCTAATCGTCGAGCTTGCTAGCTTAGCCTCGATTAGCGATTAGCACATTAATAACCATCACTACACATCACATCATAGCAAACACATGATAACACATGGAATAGTATAATATACATACGAAACAGATTTTTACCTGGCAGGAGAACGAACAATAATCCTTTTCAAGGCTACTGCATAAGGAGATATTCCCCGCTAGCTCACCCAAGCTTGCTCTCTGGCACAGCTACAAGCCACGTGAGCTCATAGCCCCTCCCGCTAGGATGTACCACTACAGTCGACTGTCGTAAAGCAGCCGCAAACCCATAGCAATATAAAAAAAACCTCAAAATCATTGAAGAACATTTTATAACACCCAATATAGATATATACATATATACTGAATATCACACAATGTCAGATAACCAAATTAACACTGGGTTACATACACCCCTGCTTAAAGTGTGACGTCCCGTCACTATCACCCGACAGAGATTGCACTAACCCAGCAATCTGTTGTTGTAATGACAGGAAAAAGTTATTGAACAATGCAAGTGTCATCGGCAGCCATGGCTCTCTACCAAACATCAGAAGGAAGGGCGCTTCTCCAGTTGCGTCATGTTTTGTACAGTTATAAGCATGTACAAGGGGGCGAACATACTTCCTCCACTCCTCTTCTTTTTTTTTTTTCTTTTTCTCCAGTTGCCCTCTGGTACAAGCATCCAGTGCTGTGGGAGGGTGCCAGAAGGCCTGCCGTTACCGTCAACTACCTCCTGCAGCAACGTCTGGAGTCGGCGCAAGTAATCAGATGCCTTTTCTCCACTATTCTGATGAGTCTCTAGGTACTGGATATACAGCTCTTCACCTCCAGTGACATTGCCATAAGCCTTGTCAAGCTCATCAAGATAGTCTTTTGGTGGTGCTTGAGACCCAATAGAAAGGGCTACATTCAAAGCAGGGCTAGCCAAGCTATCGAGGAAACCACGGCGCTGCTGCCCTTCGGAAAGGGTAGAGTCATTTAGTACCTGTTTAGCTCTAAGTCGCCATACCCTGTACTCTACCTCATTAGGGGGTTTTGGAGAGTTTCCTGAAAATGAGCGGAGCTCAAAACCAGAGGGAGTGTGCATGGGCGAGTCATGTTTTACAATGTGCTCCACAATGACTCTCTGAACCTCCGCTGGCAAAGGATCAACAAGCAGGGAGTCCGCATCAAGTGCCTGTTTAGCCTTGGGCACATGGCCATCATCACAGGCGGCAGTTGACCTGGGACCGGGTGTGGACTGAGTTTTAACTCCCAAGGCAGGAGTTGAGGTAGCTAACCCCTGATATGTATCATTTTTCCCACACATGTGGCTCACTGCAGCCTGATTTAAAGTCATGGGGCTCACATTATATGCTAATGCCAGTTCGTTTACTTGTTCTCTGAAACTAGCAGTCACATCATCAATTGCTCGAGCAAGTGGGACCACATCATGCACCAGGTGAAAACTGTCAGGTCCCTGAGGACAGTACTCATCTATCTGAATAACCTCCCAACACTCCCCATCTGCTGAATGTTCTCCATCTAAGAGCATTGGGGTAATGAACTCCATGAACTGACACAAAATAGTGTCAGGGAGACTATCTATTTGTTGAATTTTGACAACGAGATCCAGCAAATCAAATGCTCTTTGCACCTCTTGTAGTTTAATCTCGGCTTTAACCCCTTTTAACAAAACAGTGTACTCTGGATCAAAACCATACCTGTCACAAAACTCCATCGTCTCTCTCTGCAAAGCAGTAGATGAATTCACAGATGTCTGTGCATGTGCTTCAGGATAAAGTTAGTGATGCGCTCCAGTCCCTGTTCGGGCGCCAATTTTTCCTACTACTTTTAGTTGTAACCAATACGTCTACTCACCAAAGAATGAGTGAAGCAATATGGATAACAGCAGAGGACAATTTATTTAGGGTCTGATGGCAATTTACCATCGGTGTCCAGCACTTTAAAGGATTGGATGGACTGGAGCACATCTGTCCTTAACATACCCTCTTAAACATCAGCTTGACACTGATACATCAAAGGAAACTTAACAGACTAAGTGCAAATGTTTCAACCTGAACAACTTAAAACTTCTTTGGGATACAATGTAAATAAAGACAAAAAGAAAAATATTTCCATCAATAGTCACTTCTCCTAACCAGGAGACAAGTGAATATATTATGTAAAGAGTCCTTCTCAGTCCTGGGGTTGTAACACCACAACCTCCTCAGTCCGTAATCAGAGAGTGTCTATTTGACAATAACCAAAATGTCTTTGGATAGTCTTTATGAATGCAAACAAAACAAAACAAAAAAAAACAATGGTATTAGCTGGCCAGCAAAATAAAGAGACTGTATGGCACTGAGTGCGGGCGTGTGTGTGAGTACTTCGGTCCAAATAATCAAGGTCCGGATGGATGAAGGGATGGCGGCCGCTTGTCCTTTAATGGCACCAGCGAGGCGGCACAGCAGCGAGGCAGCACAGCAGCGAGGCGTCTGGCAGGAGAACGAACAATAATCCTTTTCAAGGCTACTGCATAAGGAGATATTCCCCGCTAGCTCACCCAAGCTTGCTCTCTGGCACAGCTACAAGCCACGTGAGCTCATAGCCCCATAGTGACATACGAACTTGGCTACCAACGTCCGCTTAGCATGGCGGCTAATCGTCGAGCTTGCTAGCTTAGCCTCGATTAGCGATTAGCACATTAATAACCATCACTACACATCACATCATAGCAAACACATGATAACACATGGAATAGTATAATATACATACGAAACAGATTTTTACCTGGCAGGAGAACGAACAATAATCCTTTTCAAGGCTACTGCATAAGGAGATATTCCCCGCTAGCTCACCCAAGCTTGCTCTCTGGCACAGCTACAAGCCACGTGAGCTCATAGCCCCTCCCGCTAGGATGTACCACTACAGTCGACTGTCGTAAAGCAGCCGCAAACCCATAGCAATATAAAAAAAACCTCAAAATCATTGAAGAACATTTTATAACACCCAATATAGATATATACATATATACTGAATATCACACAAAGTCAGATAACCAAATTAACACTGGGTTACAAAAGGTTGGTGACTGTTTGCTTTCACGACCGTGACTTTCAGTGGAACTTTGTTGTTGCTGCTAGCTCTGTGCCTATAATAGGCGCTGATTTTCTTTGTGCTCACGGGCTGCTGGTTGATGTTGCTAACAGACGTTTAATTGATGCTGTGTCATTTTCGAAGATCGATTTGGTACGGGGATATCACCAGGTTCCCGAGGATGTCCCCAAAACCGCCGTAATTACACCTTTCGGCCTTTTCCAGTTTCTGCGCATGCCGTTTGGCCTGAAAGGTGCCGCCCAAACCTTCCAGCGGTTGATGGACTCGGTCTTGCGCGGGCTGCCCTTTGTTTTTGTATATCTTGATGATATACTGGTGGCCAGCAGCTCGAAGGAGCAGCACATGTTCCATCTGCGTCAGGTTTTTCAGCGTTTGGCGGAGCATGGACTGATTATTAATCCGTCTAAATGCCAGTTTGGGTTGCCCGTTCTTGATTTCCTTGGGCATCGTCGTCACATTTTTCGTGGGCCGGTCTCTAGTCAAAATGCCCGGGCCGATTTTTTTGTCCCAGTCCAGCCCTGGTCACGCTGTGACATTTTGTCGCTTTATTGATCAAAATCAGTCCTTTTCTGGCTTAAATACCGAAAAAGCTTCTGAGGTCTGAGTTGACACAGTGTTCCTACAGTATTATAGCGTTACATTTGCTAAGCTGGGGAGTAAGCGTGTACTTACTCGGCCATCTTGGAACGCCCCCTCGCTCTGTGATCCTTTGATCTTCACAAAGGACCATTCTGACGTCACGGTCGACGTCACGTTCTCTGCTAGTCCTTAAATAGGGAGCTCCTTTAACAGTTTACTCAGTTTACATTGGAGCATTTTCAGAAACAGCCAGTTGTTTTAGGCAAAGCTAATACGTATTTAACCTGTGACACCGTGCTTTAAACCTTTAAAAAAATGTCACCGGAATCATTTAATAACTTACCTTCTGGAAGCGATAGTGAATTGGAATCACTCAAGCTGCAGCTTCAGGTTTTTAATATAAGACTGTCGCAGCTTCATGAATTAGTAAGGCTAAATTCTGAGTTCAGCAGTAGGATGACTACTCAGCTGTCTAACGCTAGAAGGGACAGAGATCAAATCAGCGAAGAGTATAAAGAAAGTAGGAGAGCTCACAGGGAAGAGATAAAAGAAATGTGGGATAAAAACACAGAACTCACAACAAGGTACGAAAATATAAAAATAAAAAACACAGAACTCAGAAGAGGGAACGAAAATATTGCCAAAAAAAACGCAGAACTCGGGGAAGAAAACGCAGAACTCAGAAGAGGGTACGAAAATATTACCAATAAAACCGCAGAACTCGTGAAAGAAAACGCAGAACTCAGAAGAGGGTACGAAAATATTACCAAAAAAAACGCAGAACTCGGGGAAGAAAACGCAGAACTCAGAAGAGGGTACGAAAATATTACCAAAAAAAACGCAGAACTCGGGGAAGAAAACGCAGAACTCAGAAGAGGGTACGAAAATATTATAAAAGAAAAAGCAGAACTCAGGAAAACTGTGGAAAATCATCAGGGCCTAGTGGAAGAAGCACAGTGTATAATAAATAGCAATGCTCCTGAACCTGAGGAGGCTGAGACCCATGGTTCGTGGTGTCATGGTGCCAAACGCCTACTTAAAGTAGGTTTAGGTCTTGCCACAGTGGCCACGGTTGTTCCTGCAGCTTGCTGGGCCATCTCACAGCTTTTCGGCTGAAGTGAATGTCCCGTTCTGTGGGGGAAGAGCGGGGATCGCTATAATTGTGGATTCTGGTCCACATCCACAATTACAGCCCTACTGTAATTGTGGATGTGGACCAGTTACCCTTTAAAAACAGTAATGATGTTTTCCAGCCACAGTCCACCTTCATCCTGGCGCTGTTCCCGCTGGTGCAGGGTCCGTTCTTCGGCAAAGGTTTCTCCATCTTCCTTGATTTTGTCCATCCACCGTTTCTTCGGTCTGCCTCAAGGCCGGCGCCCTTCTAAAATATGCTGTGCTCTCCTTTATGTTTGATTTTATTTTGCCCCTCACACCCCCAACCAGTCATGGCAGAAGACTGCCCCTCCCTGAGCCTGGTTCTGCCAGAGGTTTCTTCCTGTTAAAAGGGAGTTTTTTCTCTCCACCGTTGCCAGAGCGCTTGCTCATAGGGGATCATTTGATTGTTGGGGTTGAATTTTTGGGTTTCATTTAATTGGCTTGAACTGAAAAACCTAAAAATTCAGGTGAGGGTTTTACATAGTGGAGAGCACTGCAGTTGTTAACTGCACTTTTTTATTTGTAGTTTTTGCAGTGCTTCCTACTACAAAAACTACAAATAAAATCCTTGCAGTTAGCAGCAAATCAAAATAAATAAACACATTTTTAAAGGATCCACTACTGCTCTGTGTGTTTACTTCAATGAACAATTGTATGTTTTTGTGGTAGAAGATTATAGATTGTCCAAATATGTGAGAGTTTTAAAAGTAGCACTGCATGAGATTTACTGTGGCACAGATCGTTGAGCAGATCGTGTGTTGATCTGAGTCCTGTGATTTCCAGTAGTGATTTATTCCCATAACAAAATCAAATTGTCCTCTGCTGCTGTGTTGTTGCACAATGAAAATGATGGAGGTTTCAGAAACAGTCCGAACCTGGTTACTGTCTCAGATATGACGCTAGTCTTATCCTGCCTGCTTCTGTGTGTATATATGTAATATGCATATCCACATAATTATGGATTATTATAATTATGATATTTAATAAACACACACTGTGTTTTAAAGAACATACATTAAGAAACTGATTGTATTAAATTTTTATTTCAAATAAATTTCATTATATTTTTTGTCATCATTTTATTATAGATTAAGTGCAAGAGTTGTTAAGTGTGGATAAATAAATAATAGTTTATTGCAATAACAAATTGCGCCTTGGAGTCCTGAGGCGCTGTGCAGGGCAACTAGGAAGTGTGTTCTGGACTCACTGTTAGTATCCACTGATTTAGTCACTGATCAACCTTCAGTCACGTAGGAGGACAGAGCTTCATGTTTATGGGATTAATGTGCAGTTTCATTGAATCCGTATTTATCTGTAAACAGGGTTCACACGGGTGCTTGAAATATGTGGTCTTCGGTGCAGTTTTCCTGTTTTGTGGGGAAGAAAGGCTTTTTAAGCCAACCTAAGATGATTCGTTTTCATTTTCACATGGTCTTGGTGAGGTGATGCAAAGTGAAACATGCTTTCTGTGGTTTTTTTTGGCCATGTGCTGGGAAAGCTTGAACATGGACCTTGAAAGTGCTTAAAAAGTGCTTGAATTGGAGCCAGAAAAAAGCGTATGAACCCTTGATTTGGAGGTGTTGGAGTCTGAAACCATGTGATGACTGTAAGCTCTGTGATTTATTACCTGATGGACCAGCAACACCTTCACTGTGTTTAAATGAGAATGAATCCAGCTTTACTTTAATATAGACGGCAGTGTGCAAAAGTCTTGTGCCCTCGTTTCTTTACATTTTGCAGGAGAATTGGAAACGGGTGCAGCAATTCACTGAAACGTGCAAATATTCATTAAAAATACAGAATATGTGGCAAAAATCAAGTCTTTACAGTTGTAACGAGCTTGAACGTGAATGGTTGGTCTGACCTTCATCCTTCAGTTCACTCTGAACTCTCTGAGCAGCTCTCTGTCGTCTTTGTGAGGACCTGCAGGAACACTTCTCCAGACTTCTTGAAGGACATTCAAAGCTCTTCTGCCTTTTGTTGATGATGTTGATGATTCCACACTGTTTATGTCCTGCTGAGCTTTGTGCTCTGGGAATGCCAGACCATGACTGATATTTTGTAGATCGGACTGCGTAGTTGTGAACTGAGTTTTGTAACTTTGTAAACCGAAAGATCAGAAAATTTCTAGTCATTCACATTTATTTAATGGGCTAAATTAAGTTTTGTCTTCAGGTCCTGGGATGATGGAAGGCGGGAGGGATTTGCTCAGATTAAACGGTTCTTCTTTCTAAACAAAAAGCGTGCAGATTCTGGTTTCATTGTGTAGAATAAAATTTAAAAAATGTTTTGACCTGGTTTAAAAACGTAAAACAAATGGAGAAATGTGCTTATGGACGTAGATCCATCGGTTATTCACTTTATTCAGTAATATGTGGCCTCATTAGTAAAGATCTGACCTGCCTAATGTACTGCAAAGCACATGTACATATATTTCAGGATCACTGTAACCTCAGTGGCTTGAAATAAACTTTATTTTGGAGTTACATATTTTGATTTTGGGCAGTTTTCTTTAGGAAACAACTGTTTCTAGTCATTCACATTTATTTAATATGCTAAATTAAGTTTTGGGCATGTGTGGCACCATGATATAGATGAATACATGAAAATTGCAGCCCCCCGCCCCCCCATTTTATTTTTATGCTTCATGTCACTTCCTTTTGGGAAAAACTACTGTTAGTGTCTATTTTGCTGCAATATAAGTTCCGCCAGCAGAGGGCGCTCGGTGTCTTACACATCAGTAGCCGACACCTCGCTAGAAGAGTAGTGCAAAGCTGGCGCACCAGGTAGTTCCTGATACGGTATCAGGAACTACCTGGTGCGCCAGCTCTGCCCACAGGACACCGCTGCGGCCGCTGTATGACGGCCCATTCAGGGTTATTGAACCGGGCCAGAAACATTTTGTTTTGGATTTTGGGGGTCGAAGGGAGACTGTGTGTGTTGACAGACTTAAACCTGCACATGTTCTTCCGGACAGTAATGTAGTGCCGGCCCAGGCCCCTCGCCGTGGCCGCCCTCCTTCGATGGGGTTGACAGACTCTGGTTTTCCCCCCAGGACTACCCCCGGACCACCGGCGTTTGAGCCTCCTCCTGCCTTTCCTGCTCGCCTTCACTCTCCACATCGAAAGGAGCCAGCTGAGGTGGTTCGGGCATCTGACAAGGATGCCCCCTGGGCGCCTCCTGGGTGAGGTGTTCCAGGCATGTCCCACATCAGCCAGCGCATATTGGGAATGGCACAGGCACCAATCGGTTTACCGCCGCCCATTTGCTTGGAGTAAGGACGCCCTCCGTTTGGAAGGTGCACCTGCTGCTTGCGGCACAGGGAGGAGTGGGCGGGGATTCTCTGGCTGGCTGGAGCAGCGTCTAATAACCAACCAAAATAAAACAAAATAAAAACAAACTAACAAACACAAAAACACCACACATTATGATACAGGCTTATAATTTGCACCGATCTTTTTTCAAAATTCTATACGCGAAAAGTGAGCGCGAGAGCCCTTGGTGCGCCTGCTCGCTGCTGAAGTCAAAGTAAACTTTATTGTCATCTCTGCTATATATATATACAGTCCATTATATATAGAGAAGAGACAACGAGGCTCCAGTTAAAGCAGTGCAAGTAAACGAACAACAAATATAAGAAAAGTAAGAAAATAAATATACACTTTAGGACCAGGGGTAAAGGGATCAACACAATTTAAAATTCATACTTTACAGTTTGATGATTTAAAGTCTCACACACAACGCGTCGAAAGGGGAGGGGGGCCGGCTGCTTCCAAATAGAGCACATTTCATTTATAATGTTGTAAATCTAAGTCATTATGTATTCATGATTTGAATCATGGGTTGTGCGAAATCCCAGAAATAAACTCTAGACAAAGCAAATCTATGGACTAAGTAAGGTGTAGGTTTATTAGGTTATGTTGTGGTGATCCTCGGGTTGGGGGATGGGTGTTCATACTGGAGTGCAAAATTAAAACCAATGGAAGATGGACAAGAAAAGTTCAAAGC